TCCTTTTTTTTTTTTTTTTTGGTGTCAATCTGATAGCCAACCGATTATATTGGTGCATTCCTAAATATGACTAAAATCAGATAATATCATGTTTGGCAAAAACAGAATTAATTTTGAGACACAGCGGAAGGGGTGGCATTGCAGCTGTATGTAAACTGGATATCAGATTAAGGATATATGGAGAACTTCAACATATCAGTGCTTTTAATTCCTTTTTTTTTTCTGCCAACAAGCTTCCTTTCATACAGTTAAGTTTGCTTAGATGTTAATTCTGTGCTGTGCCTCCTTTCATGCTCTTTAAAAACTAGTTGTTCTATATTCAAGTGAGGGGCAGAACCTTTTTAATTAAGGCTAAATTCTTTCCTTCATCCCATCCCTTTGAAGCAGCAGAATATTACTAGATTGCCCCAGCTGCCACCCGAGGGAGGGGTGTGAGCTGCAGGCTCAGGCTCCCTACCCTGCTGCCTTTCCTCTGGGGCCTCCACGGCCCAGTGGGTGGGACCCAGCATGGCAGGGCAGAACGGGGCCGGATAGAGAAACCGATGCTGCCACCAGGAGCTCCGCACTGCCCTGGTAAGGCACCTTTTGCCTGCCTGGCAGCAGCAAGGGGCAAAGTGCTGCTCTGCCACCAGGTGGGCAAGAGGTGGATTGCCACAGCAGCATGGAGCTTCCAGCAATGGCAACAAGCTTCCCCACCCTGCTCTGCCCTGCTGAGCCAGGTCCCACCCACTGAGCTCCAGGGGCCTCAAGGGAGGGCAGCAGGGGGGAGCCCACAACAGGCAGCCCACACCCACTCCCGCTCTGTGCACAGATCTGGGGAGCATGTGCCCCCCCGCCCCACCCCAGGAATGCATGTAGCAGTGGGGAGCCAACTCCTGCCCCACAGACAAGTCCCCTGCAGCTCCACCCCACTCCCTGCCTACTCCCTGTATCCGCACATTACAACCCCAGGCCCCAAGTCCCATGCACCGCCTGGCTGGGCAGGAGCCCAAGCCCCAGTCCTACCCAACTTCCTCCCTCCCCTGTGGGGCCTCAAGTTCCCCTCTCCACACCAAACTTATCTGCAGGAGCTGCTCTCCAGGCTGCCTGGCAGCCATTTGCATGTGTGTATGTGCGCACACACACGGCACATCCTATCTGACCGCCCTTCTCCCTCTTCCCCCAGCCCCTTGCATGCTGGAACTCTGCCAACCTACAGAGAGCTTTCTGCAACAGTGGGAAATCCATGTTTCTCCATTAAAATGAGAAATCTGTGTTTCTCTCATTTAAAAGGGAAAATCCATGTTTTCCATTTTTCTGTGGGAAACAGAAAACCTGAATCCCTGCTGATCAGTAGGAGTTGCTGTTAGATCTGACCTGTCCCCCTGGTTATAGATTGCTACAATCCCAGTTTTCCCAGAAGTCTCAAAATAAGGCTCCAACTCCAGGAACTGTACCCAGGAGCGTGAAACACTAGTGTTGGTTACCAGAACAGTCCCTGGAACAGTTGTATTTCCTCCCCCTTGTATTTTTCTATGCCCTGACATACTTGGCATAAGGTATTTGACACACTGAAGTTTGACACTCTCTCTGCTCTCTTTTTCAGATGGTGTTTTTTAACCTGCCCTTGATGGCTTACCTATGCTGGTGCCTGTTGCTGCGTTGTCAGGGTCTCAGCTTTCGCTCCCATATCTACCACGTCAGATGTTTTTGGGCTGTACCTGCCCACCTTGCCATGGCACTCCTCCTGACCTGGCAGCTCTATTCCTGCTACTTCCTGCAGCGGACCTATGGGACTCTTGCTTTCTTCTTCTCCCCAATGAAAACATGGCTGGTGGTGCTGACCTTTGTTCTAATATGGAGAACCTGGACATTGAGCACTTCTGAACTCAGAACTTATATAGCAGAAATGAAAAACTGTCAGAGCTCTTGATATCTAATCTAGGTATTCAGAGGTCTTTTGATTTACACTGAAAAGCTGTGAACTGTGGGTATATGTGGATGGGTTTCTGTACAGCCTGAGCCAGTGGATGTTTGGATGTGAAGCAGTTCCTGGCTTGCTCCAGAACAGTGTGATGATAGGGTTTCCTGTGGTATATTGCTGACAAGTAGAAGTGCTTGCTGATTTACCTCTGTGAATGGAAGAAAATCTTTGTAATGTATTATTCTTGATTTTTAAAACACTGGCAGAATTGCAGGGTGGATCTTTATAGCAGGCCCTCAGAGCTGTGCTTCTGGTTTTTATTTAAACATTTACACATGATTCTACAAAACTAGTCTGTGATGAATGTCAACACAGAGAGTAATAATGGTCACAACTGTGGCCTTCACAGTAAGTATTCTGTGGTAGGTACTAATACACTTCTTGAGGGTTTGAATGGCTGATATACAGCATTGTAAATCACTTTATAAAGTGCATGTATGTGTGCGCAAGCACCCTGATTTATTTTTTTATTTCTTGGAGAATAGTGAAGAGGCAGTGTTGTCTGTGGATGTAGAGGGGTCACTTGTATTCTGTCAACAGCAACTGTGCCCTGACTAGGAAAGGAGCTTTGCTGTTCAAGGGCTTCTCCGTGGCAGCCGAAGTGGGGAGTCAAAAAGAGAGCAAAGAGGAGGTGTGGACTATCTGCAGATATGAAGTATCTAGGCAGACTAGTATTGTCTAATAGCTAGGGCAGATTTCAGAATTAAACTCTTCTGATCATTGTCCAGCTGCATTTCTACTGAATAGAGGACATGGTATTATATGTAAAGTATTATATCATTTTTCAGGTTCAATATAAGATTCCACAATTTCCTGAAGTTAAAAAACCTATTTTTAGCTTGCACAAAATAATTTTTTTGGCATGCAATATTGGTAACATACAGTTCTTTTTACTTCAAAATAGTATTGTTTTGGAGTAGGCGTGAGAATACAGCAGTCTTTTGAAGTCAAGAGCATCCTTTCCAAGCTGTTCATTAGGAGAACACAGAACAGAAATACATGAATTGATCAAAGCAAGGGATGGATCATGGAAATGTGTTGTTAAGATTCTTTATGCAATGCCAGCCGTTGATTTGTCAGATGGAGTGATAAATGCATTTTACGATGTTTCAGTTACAATATACCAGATTTGTTGGGTTTTTTTTAACTATCTTTGCATGGAGGAAACCTTTTATAATTCTTAAATTCCATTTGGACCTTTGGACATTATTAAAGTGAATAATCATTAAATTAATTTTAGCTAATGTTGTTACATAACAAAAAATATATTTTCTGAGAGATCACCCTTTAAATCCTATGTCCTGATGTTGTTTTTAAATTCCTTTAAAAAATGTTTTTATGCTCCTTGGTTTGTTTATGAAGGGACTTTTCTGTCAGTCAGTGGACTGGACATGAGAGGCTATTCAATGCACAAAGTAAACTGTGTAAGATAGAGAATTTATCCTTACTAATCATCCTCAGTAATTTGATATGTTATGACATTTTCAGAGGCAAATACAACTTTCAGGTTGACTGTTTCTCTTAATGGTTAAGGCCAGCTAAGGCTGCAGTGCTGCTTCCATTTTAGTCTGTGTTCACTTACAAATTTCCAGAGTCATCAGTTTCAAACTAAAGCGTACCTTGGTTCAGCTCTGTCAAAAGATATTTCTTTCAGAAGTCTTGAGGAGAAGTAGTTGAGCTCATTTTGAATATGAGTGAAGGAATAAATACTTTCTCTTTTTAGAAAAGCCATCAGAAGGCCTACATCTGCCCAAGTTGAGAATTGAAAGTTGAAATTCAGCTTAGAAAGAGCCTTTGCTGAGAAGGGTTATTTAGCATGCCAATTAATATTAGTTGTTTGGTTGGCTCCCTGTATTTCTGTGCCTTTTTGAAAAATTGTGTTGTCTCACAAAACTTGCATGGTATTGCTGACATGCACAGCTGATTTAACTACAGACTGGAAAAGAAAGGGAT